GACCGAGTGGCAGTCTGGTGTAAGTGAGGGACCTAGTGGCAGTCTGATGTAAGTGAGGGACCGAGTGGCAGTCCGGTGTAAGTGAGGGACCGAGTGGCAGTCTGATGTAAGCGAGGGACCGAGTGGCAGTCTGATGTAAGTGAGGGACCGAGTGACAGTCTGATGTAAGTGAGGGACCGAGTGACAGTCCGGTATAACCGAGGGACCGAGTGGCAGTCCGGTATAACCGAGAGGCCGTGTGGCAGTCCGGTAAAACCGAGGGACCGAGTGGCAGTCCGGTATAGCCGCGGGACCGAGTGGCAGTCCGGTATAACCGAGAGGCCGAGTGGCAGTCCGGTATAACCAAGGGACCGAGTGGCAGTCTGGCGTAAGTGAGGGACCGAGTGGCAGTCTGATGTAAATGAGGGACCGAGTGACAGTCCGGTATAACCGAGGGACCGAATGGCAGTCCGGTATAACCGAGGGAACGAGTGGCAGTCCGGTATAACCGAGGGACCGAGAGGCAGTCCCGTATAGCCGAGGGACCGAGTGGCAGTCCGGTATAACTGAGGACCGAGTGGCAGTCCGGTATAACCAAGGGACCGAGAGGCAGTCCCGTATAACCGAGGGACCGAGTGGCAGTCTGATGTAAGTGAGGGACCGAGTGACAGTCCCGTATAACCGAGGGACCGAGTGGCAGTCCGGTATAACCGAGAGGCCGAGTGGCAGTCCGGTATAACCGAGGGACCGAGTGGCAGTTCGGTATAACCGAGGGACCGAGTGGCAGTCCGGTATAACAGAGGGACCGAGTGGCAGTCTGGTGTAAGCGAGGGGCCGAGTGATAGTCTGGTGTCAGTTAGGGACCGAGTGGCAGTCTGGCGTAAGTGAGGGACCGAGTGGCAGTCTGATGTAAGTGAGGGACCGAGTGACAGTCCGGTATAACCGAGGGACCGAATGGCAGTCCGGTATAACCGAGGGAACGAGTGGCAGTCCGGTATAACCAAGGGACCGAGAGGCAGTCCCGTATAACCGAGGGACCGAGTGGCAGTCTGATGTAAGTGAGGGACCGAGTGACAGTCCCGTATAACCGAGGGACCGAGTGGCAGTTCGGTATAACCGAGGGACCGAGTGGCAGTCCGGTATAACAGAGGGACCGAGTGGCAGTCTGGTGTAAGCGAGGGGCCGAGTGATAGTCTGGTGTCAGTTAGGGACCGGGTGGCGGTCTGGTGTAAGTGAGGGACTGGGTGGCAGTCTGATGTAAGTGAGGGACTGAGTGGTAGTCTGGTGTAAGTGGGGGACTGGGTGGCAGTCTGGTGTAAGTGAGGGACTGAGTGGTAGTCTGGTGTAAGTGCGGGATGAGTGGCAGTCTGGCGTAAGTGAGGGCCTGAGTGACAGTCTGGTGTAAGCGAGTGATCGAGTGGCAGTCTGGTGTAACCAAGCGACCGAGTGGCAGTCTGGTGTAAGCAAGCGACCGAGTGGCAGTCTGGTGTAAGTGAGGGACTGAGTGGCAGTCCGGTGTAAGCAAGCGACTGAGTGGCAGTCTGTTGTAAGCTAGCGACCGAGCGGCAGTCTGGTGTAAGCAAGCGACCGAATAGCAGTCTGGTGTAAGCGAGTGACCGAGTGGCAGTCTGGTGGAAGTGAGGGACTGAGTGGCAGTCTGGTGTAAGCAAGCGACCGAGTGGCAGTCTGGTGTAAGCGAGTGACCGAGTGGCAGTCTGGTGTAAGTGAGGTACTGAGTGGCAGTCTGGTGTAAGCAAGCGACCGAGTGGCAGTCTGGTGTAAGCGTGATTCAGGAGTACGAGATCAGAAGGCTAGGGTGTCGCCAGGCCCCAAACGACGTTCAGGATACGGAAGTGGCTCTGTGGTAGGTCGAGAGATGCATAACCAGAAAATCAGTGACTGCTGGAATGCAGTTAGGATCTATGGTCCTCTCGTGTCACGGTAACTCTCGGAACATACCGCTTTTTGACTTCATGAGGTGAAACATGTCGAAAGAGGGGCATTTCAGCGGGTCGTTCAAGGTGAGTGAGAGAGGAAACTCGGAAACGGCAGGATATCCACGTGAAGAGGATGAGGAGATATAGCGCATGATTACTGTCATTTGAGGTGTCAGGGCGTATAGCCGATGCTGGTATTAGTGAAGAGAGGCCGAACCAGTGGAACGCCATTCGCCAGTATCAGAGGCTGGGTCTGGAGACGCATCACAGCAGGCTGGGGGTCACATGGGTGATCGTGAATTATTGACGTTAGGTAGGGAGCTGGAACGCAACGGTATTCGTCCCTAGAAGTACACTCGGGCTTCAAATGTGCTGGAGATTTGTTGTACTATTTTAGTCGTCTCCTATGTTGTACGGGGAACAAAAAAGGGAGATCTACTGCTTTTAAAGCCGTATTGACACTATATTTTGGTGGTTGCTCGGCATGTTTTCTTTAACCAGTATTGCCTGGTGTATTAAAGGAAATTTATTTGCACCGAAGTAATTCCAAAGTACGTCGCAATAGGAGCTTAGCGTTTACTTGTGAATAGAAGTTGAAGATTACATTATTTTTTTCTTATTCAGAAGCAGTTCTGGGCTGTGCAGTGCGTGGGTTGTTCCAGTTGTTTGTAATGTTTTCGGTTTAAAAAGCGTTCTTCCTACTTTTTAACTCAGCATTCTGACAGAACGCTGGCAGGGGCGCAGAGGTCATGGCATGTACCGAAGCCTAGTAGCCACAGGCCTCCCTAACCCAATCACAGTGTTGCGCCTTAAATGGACAATTGCAGCCGGCAATGTTTATTGTTTAGTTTTGTTTGTTTTATTATTATTATTTGAATATTTGTTTTATTGTTATTATTTGAATAGGTCACATAAAAGGCTGCTGGTAATGTTAGGTAGGAACGTTTCGTAAAGTAAAAGGGCCAAACCTGCCTTTGAAGTAGATTCATGCCATATATTTTTATAGGTTTTATTACTAGCTTTCAGCAAAAACCAACTAGCCACTGGCCCTCTCCCCTCCTCGGTTACATTACTTTGCCCATAAAAGCTTGTGGTGAGACGATTGGTTTGGCGTTAGTCTGCTGAAATACAGGCACACAGAAATGTTTAATGATGACAAAGAGCATCATTTGCCGCACATGACAGAAGCATGACCAACTTACGTAGGACTTTAAAATGATCGTGCTGGGTAAATCACTGGATTGTCATCGCCAAACTTGGTAACGGTAGGAGTAAGTTAAGAACAATTAACGCCATTTATGCACCATTGCCTTCACAATGAACTCGACCGATGAGATGCACGAAACGAATAAGTATGACCGCTGCCTTTGCATGGGGAATGTTGGTCTTTGTTCATCCCTGGCTCTAAGCACACAACTTCGTAGTTCGGATGCATGTTTGTCCACAGGCGCATAGACTCAGCTTCCCTCAGGGGATTCAAATTGTCAAGTTGTCAAATTGTCTCCAAAATTCCGCGAATTTGGACCATTTTAGCAAAATACTTGCAATTGGTGCAGATTTCTTCGGTGAGGGAGGGGGGGGGGCATGTCCCCATGGCGCCATTCTATCTGGCTATGTTCCTGATCCTCTAAGCATATTGTGTAGCGTATTCTAAATATTGAAAAGCCGAGTAACGTGTTCGTCTGTCTCGGGTGGCTGCTTTCTCCCACGGAAGTAGCAGCATTGACATTTTAACTGCATGGCAGTTTCAGGTAACTCATTCCATGCACAGCGTTTTAACAAGCTTGCTTCTGAAGTCCGATTATGCACCGTAAATTTGTTCACTCTTTCCTTGTTTTGGCACGCGAGAAGTCTGAGTGTTCAGCGTAGGCAGCTCGTCGACTTATTGGTTTCTTGGTTGTCATAACATGAACTGATTAAGCAGTTGGCGATACAGGGTCTGACTCGCCGCTCGGAATTCATGCAACGGGCATTTGACATCAGTTACCCAAAGCTTCGTTACGGTGCCCTGTGGCACGTAAGAAATCGACTTCGCAAAGCTGCTGTGACAGAATTCTGAGGCTAAAACAGAAAACGGGCTTTTAAACCTGGACGATTAGCACGCAAACAAGCTTGGTGGTGTTTTGCATAAATAACACACTGGTAGGGTACAGTAGTACTACAATCGGCTTAAACGCTGGCAGCAGGGAAAAAAAGCGGCAAGTATCAAATGCAAGTGCATGAACCTTTCTTCTTCTTCTAAAGCACCCCACCTAGCCGAGCTCAGGACGCTCAGGGCAAAGGCAATGGTGCGTGGATGGTTCGGATATTCTGATGGCATTGCCTTCATCGAGGCTGGTAATCATAACCGTTTGTTCATCAAGCTTATTCTAAAACTCGGTGTGCCTTGCCCGGGTTCTAATCACGTGCAATAGATGAGGCTACTTGTCACCTCTCAAAAGGTGTCGGGTGCTGGTTATTGTCTAGCAGACCTGGTCCGGTGGTTGGTCTCCCCTATGAACTATTGCTAGGGCACAAGGGAGGAGAGTGGTATGGGCCATATAGTATTTGATTTTTTGTAAGCTTTTAACATCAACGTTGCGGTGGTGCATAGCACGAGTATTAATCGCCTCTAAAAAAAAATGGGTCAGGTCCCTCACTTTTTGGGACGTTCCTACATCACTTAATAACGGCTTAATCTTGAGGTCTTCAAGATGCAATCAAGAAACGAAAGCGCATGCCACCATCGTCCACGTTGGCAAATGTCATATGAGCACACCCATTGGAAGAGGGTGAACGGATTGCACTAATAATCCATTATAATAGCGGTTTTTGCAATGCGTACCGCTGCTGTTTTAAGCGTTGCCTTGCTTTTCTACACAGCGCGACATGCGCGAAGGTTGACAAGCTAGACGCTGAGTTTGTGTCATAAAAGTAGCTTCCAAGCACCTTAAGGCCATGACCTAATGGGAGCAGACGATCTTACCCGTCATGGTCGTTGCACTGTCTTTCACTGTTAAGCCACTCGACTGATTTACGCTGGAAAGCTGTGTTGTATTTGGGCTTGAAATGTCTGTAATTATCAAATGACTCTCTCTCCTGCAGGCGCAGTACCAGCAGAGATTGACATCTGAGCGTCAAGACAAGCGCTCCACGCTTTCTCTGGGTCGCCGCGACGCCCCAGAATCGCCCCAGCCCCCCGCGTCGACCGGCCGCACCTCTGATTACCCAAGTCCCCGCCGGGCGGCGCCAGCATCGCCTGGCTCCAGCAGCACCGGTAGCGCGGGGTCGGTGATGAGCAGCTTGTCAGCGTCGCTCAGCATGAACAGTTCGCTGGGACCGGGCAAGGTGCGCGCCATGTTCCAGGCGCGCCGGCAGGGCGGCAACTCCGCGCAGGGCTCTCCCGTCGGCTGGGACAAGAGTTACCCGCTGGAGCCCATCCAGAAGGGCACGCCGCCAGCCAGGAGCGGCAGGGGCGGTGCACGCCGCTCGCCGCCGCAGCCGACGGTAAGTAGAGGCCGCAAGCCGCCGGCCCGCAGCGGCGGCGGCGGCGGTGGCGGTGGACCCAGCATGCGCAAGGCTAAAAGTCACAACAATCTGGCGGCGGCTGCCGAGCCGAAGCGCGGCGCAAGAGCGGCGCGCAGTAGCTCGTTTGACGGCCGCGCCAGGCGCAAGCCGCCTCACAGGCAGGAGGAGCGCAACCGCATCAACGACGAGATGCGGCGGCGCGAGGGCGAGCTGCTTAACAAGATTAAGGGTAGCACGAAGGAGCCGGCGGGACTGCAGGCGCGCGCGCCGCGCAGGGTGAGTGCGCGGCCGGCGGGTGTGCGACCGACGGTGACGTCACAGCGATGCCGTGGGCTTGTCACCTGGCATCGCGTGCCAGCATGGCGTGCCGTGCAGGCTGATCCTCGCTTTCAGCACAGGCTTTCGTGGAAGGGTCTCAGCTTCTGGATGTCGCACACATCGGAGACACTGGCTATGATGGATATCGATTTTTACTTTGAAGGACTGGGCCCGTCAAAATGTTACATTTGAGTTGCATACAGACTTAACGGACGGAACTCAGAAGCTCCTAAAGCTTTGTTACTTGAAGTGTGAACAGCTAAAGGTATGTGCTGAAAAGTGCACATAAGACGTGAGTGCAGCTTCAAACTCGTTTTCACCTGGTGTGAAAAGTTGAAAATTCTGTCGTTAGACTTCATGAGGGATGACCTCTTTGTCAAGATCATTTTGGTCGCACTTCACGATGAGCCACCCAGAAACGTCAGTTTGTCAAGAATGTGTTTCTGACAGGACTTGCATTTATTTTGACATGCTACATGATGGTGCGTGATATTCCATAAAATGCAGTGCGCTTAGTTTACCTAACGTTAAGCTCAATCAGTTACGTCAAGGATAGAAATTTACGAGGGTTGTTTTTTACGTCGCGGGATTTTATTTTTTGCTGGAAATATCGATGCTCGTGTGAAGCTGTTTTCATTCCAACTTTCAGTAACCAGAATGGCGTGGCTGCTTTGCAGCTTGGCAATACTTTTTGCCAGATAGAAAGGACCCAAATTGTCCGCAATATCTGGGGAGCAATGCCGTCATGCTGCAAAGCCGTCAGACCCTTCGGTCTTATCAAATCTGGAGCAGTTATATAGCATTGGTTTAAAAAATAACTGATTGGTTACTTGTCATGCCTCATCTATACGTGTGCCATTTGCAATTTATCAGACCCCTGTCATCCCTTAAGCGGCCCATTGACCGCTTATTTAACTGAAGTCAACAATTCTTGTCCAATCAGAGGACTCCTACGTACCTCGTGGTGCAGCTTTCAAACCAACATCACAGAAAACCAATGACGTCACGGGACCACATGGCTGAGCGGTCAAGTCGCTGAATAACCGGGCCTGGTATACGTACCCTGATATTTAGGCCAATTGAGGTCGCATTAAGAGGTAATTCATGCCACTTGACAAGTGCTTTGCAGCGCCGTCGGTCTTTTCGTCGTGCCATACATTCTCTTGGAAAAATGGCATGGATATTGCGCAATCAAGATCGAGGAAATTACGCAATCGAGTGCTGAATTGAGTGACATCATCCGATGCGCCACGGGTTACACTTGCCGCTGATTTGTTTTTATCCTGTAACTAAATGTGCCAAGGTACATACACTAAAGCTTTCTTGTACAGCTATAATGCACAATTCTGAAGATTGGAAGAGGCCTGCAATCACCATTTCTATTTCTCTGATCTGACCTGACCTATCAAGGGTCACCCGTAGCGATGGAAATGAGCATTTATAGGATGCAGCTTTACGCGAGCTGTTGGGTGCGGCTTTCCACTTGGTCTGGTTTTTGTGACTGTTTTGTTTCGTTCATGAGACTCTGTGAAGCTCCTTTAGTGGTTGGTATTAATTGTTGATCAAGCAAGGACTTGGCAGAAGCGTATGCACGATGAGCTGAAACAACCAAAGATGGCAGTAGATTCGTTGTTGTGTATCTCTTGGGGTTGAAGAACCGGGTTAAGACCCCCGGTTTTCGTCGTGTTTAGAAAAAATAGTGGAGAACTATTTTGTCATGTACGCTATTTTGGCTTCCAGGGCGCCATTTCAAACGGACTTGTCTCAATAGGTCACTAGACAGGAAAGACGCTGCTGGATCACATCCAGCTTGATGCATTATTTATGCCATTTAGTCGTGGTATTTCAAGAATACATGAAGGTAGGGCCCTCGGTGAGACGCATTCGCCATATTGTTAGAACAAAGCCAAAGATCTGGAATGACAACTATTCTTGCAACCGAAAAGCAAAAAAACTGTGAGATATGTCACCTGTACCATCTTAGCATATGCAATGGCTTTTGCAGCCTGAAAGTATGATCATTTTATGTTTTTAATTACTATTATTAACGTTGCTTTTACGTACCTTTTAAGTTACTTTATTTCTTAACATTATGGTCATTTACTTCTGTTAACGATAAGTTTTTGGACCTCGACCGTCTGGAGGTTCACGAACATTACCCAAAGTTTCTTAAATGCTTACAGACTTATCCCAGTTGGTCTAAAGGAGTTTAAGCGCTTATTAGGCGCAAACTCGACATGTGTTGGAACAAAACAATGTTTTGATGCCACATTAACCTCTGAAGTTGCAATACAGTCCGTGGTTATTTGTTTCTATAAATTCGGCATTGTGCAATTCTCTATCAGTTTTACAATTATTCTGTTGTAATTAGTCTAACAGGCTGACTGCGGAGGATGTAGAGGGTCGTCAGCGGCCACGAAAAGGTTAATATGAATTTACATTATAATTGTCGAGCCAAAGCGATCTGTGCCGCACACTTGCGTTGATAAGTTGTCCAAGCTGATGCATTTTGGAACTCAGCGATTACCGAACGAGTCATGTGAATCGGTAGAGCAGAACCATCGTTGCCAATGGGATTATCTGAATTTTGACCTGACTTGACCTTGACTTAAACTAGCCTTGATCTTTTACCTTCGGCCCATGGCTCGTTTCTGACGAGATACAAAAGGTTCTGCTGTTTAGCGCCAATTTACGAAGCGTTGCGACCCTTATTAGTGAGCGGTCCGACCTGAGGTCCCCAGAAAACTCGAGCGATTCCAAGATGTGTCGCGCCACAAGCCATGCTTCAAGGGTACCGTGACCTTCTCTGTTTTTGGTTCGCCAGCACAATGAATTGCATTTTGAACGTTTTAATCCAACGGCCAGATTCTGAGGGTAATCCACTCGCATTTGAGTCAGGTTATGCTCAATTGCCATTGCTAGTCGTGTGGCTTTCAAGTGGCACACAGCGTCTTTCTTTCCGGCATTTGCGCGCTCCTCCCTATTGTTGATGAACGCTTCCCTTGTGTTGAAACTTGCTCACCGTCTGACGTGGGCTCTGAGTCTGGGACCGCCAGGGGATTTAAAGTCACCGCTCCTGTTTGTTGGAACAACTTCTGAGTCGTTCAAGGCAGATCAGCCGGATGTGTTGCATATGATATGGAATTCAGTCGTATTCTTTTTTAAGAGAAAACCGGCTTCATGGCCGGTCTCGTCGCCGGTTATTATGCCACCAGTGAAGTTTTTACGCTATTTGTGCTTCCGAAACCTACCAGTTACTGGTGGAGTTATGGATTGATTCGATGTAACTCATCAGTTAGCTTGGCTGTGTGCCAGTCAGCTTCATACATAGTACAGCGGAACACTAAATGTCCTATGAGGTCAACTTATTTCTGTTGAAATAAGAGGTCGTGTGCTGTCCGTGTTTGGTTAGTGTTCGGTGCTGGTAAATAGTTTCGGACGAATGAATGACTTCGGCCACATGAGTCGGAGGAACACAAGAAAAAATTTTCAATTCTGACTTGACCACGACTCGACTTGATCCTGATTAGACCTGGCCTGGTGCTTTGACCTTTTGTCAATATCATAGTATGATTCAAATGAGCAAAAGCGATTTTTCCGTTTTTTGACGCTTGCAATGCCATATGTACATCAGCAACGGCCATTGCCCAATATTTCAGCGACTAAAGGATTTTGAATTTTTGCTGTCGGGAATTAATTCTAAGTATTTTTGCTTAGGTTGTGGCGCAACCAGTCGCTTCGGAAATGTTAACGTATTAATTCCTGGGTGAGATTGACTAGAAGTATTGATCACTGTTCGAATTTTCCCCGTACTATGATCGCCCGTAGAATAGCAGAGAGCAGAGTAAAAAAAGTTTTAAAAATGAATAAAATAATTTTGCTCCCCCCCCTTCGCTTGGATGCCAAAAGACATCAGAGGGCGCCTGGACAATCCCTCGTGCTCGTGCAGCGAGGAAAATGTTGCATCAAAAGCCCTGCTGGAGTATCATTACCATCTAGCGGTATTTGATTGTATCATGCAGTGGTCGGACCACGGTGTGGGTGCACGAGTGTCACTCACAGCGGCCTGGAAGCTCAACAGCAGGCGCGGGTTCCGTTCACATATAAGGCGTCGCACTTCGAAAGCACTGGATTTTATAGCTCTTAGCCAAAAGTATCGTTAAACGCGCGCTCGGGTGGGAGGTCAAATTGCCTCTCCCCCGAAGATTTCTCCAGAATGATTTCCGAACGTCGTAGCCGCTCCAAACTTGGCATAGCTGTAGATATGTCAACAGCGGATCATCTGGCATTACAAATTTAGATGTACCTTGTAAGGTCGCTGACCTATGGCAGGTCAAATTCGGGTCATGGTTTCAGCCAATGCAATTTGTAGGGAATCGTTCAATCTGATCCAACAGTGGCGTGTAAGACGGAGCCATACACCTCTGAGATGCTTTCTCAGGTAGCACAACAATTGAATGAACAAACTACATTGACCTAAGGTCAGTTGTAAAGGTCAGACCACCGTCAAAATCAACCTGCTTTATTACCCTAGGGCTTGCTGCATGGGGTAGTTTTAGTTGCTCATTTCAAATTTATTGATAACAGGAACCGTATTATACACCTTCCATAGACTTCCTAAAGGTCAGAATAGTTAACTGACCAAGAATGACCCAGGCCATTATTTTGTTTTGAGCTGCTTAATGCCTGGCGTAATCTATGTTTCTTATCCAAATGCAAAACCCAAAGCGGTCTTGTGTGATTTTAGTCACCATGTCATTCAAAAGGTCAAACAAGGTATCTGACCTTAGATGAGCATGCGATATTATGCTTAGAGCAGTTATGTAGGTTCCAGGGGCCCTTCGGGGACCAACCTGGAGTTTGATCAACCTGGGGACCAGCCTGGGAGGGGGGGGGGGACAAATTGACCTCCCACTCGAGCGAAGGGTATCCAACCCGGGCGCGTGTTAAGTCGCGAGAGTGGTTTATGCCGTCACCGGTCAGCTGGATTCAATATTTCAAATTCAGTAGGTGGAAAAGACGAACTTGTGATCTCTCGAGGTGTGTTTACAAAAGCCAGTTTGAATGCCAATAGTATGTGGGTGCTGACCGACGTTCGCACTGCCCGATCTTGAACGGGCAATCCTCACGTGTACCAAGCTTGCTGTAAACCTATACTCTGCCACTTGTTTCAAACGGACTTCTAAAAGCTGTTTATTTCTTCGCAAGGTGGATGCATCGCAGACTGTTCACATGAACTTAATGGTGTGCGGGGAGTCAGCTGTTGTTACGACGTCACGGTCCACCAACAGCCATCTGTACAGTTTTCAGTTCTGTGCCGGCGTGACTGTGGGAACAGAAATGAATGCCGTGATCTAATTAACAACGCCACGTGACGCGTCATGAATGCTTCACCGTGCAGACGTCCGCGGTCCAACGCGAAAGTGCTGGAACGTTCATTCCCACGTCGTTTCGAGTCCGATAACCGCCCTTGTCGCTTGGTTACCATCGACAAGGTCATCAGGGGTCAACCGCTCACGGGGCGATTTTGCCCAGCCGCCTGGGTCGTGTGGTTACCACCAACAAGCCCTTTGGCGTGCGCTGAACAGTGATAGCGTCGCCAGGGTAACGCTCCTGTTTACCACCGCTAATGTCACCAACGCCCTGAAGCAACTGCGGATAGCGGTCGTCCGGGTTCAATGTGGCGGTTGTTGGCGACATCAGGGTCAGGATGTGTACGCGTGCTCACAGACACGGCCATCAGGGTCATGGTCATGGTGGTCACTGTTTACGTCAGCAAAGGCCATATTTGTCTTCCCCGAGTACATGCGCATTGGGTCTCAGTTTGTTTTCCCGTCATGAGATGTGGCCACGGTTTTATTTGTATTTCTCAGAAGTAATGTTCGGGTTTTCGGCGATTGTCCTTAAGCCAGCTTTCAGAACTATCACCGATTGTAAAGTGGTCATTTAGAGTAAACACTTTAAGATTTGTTTTAATGATTATGTTGTTTGTAATGTAATGCATATAACCTGAGGATTATATACAACATATAACGTCTCTAAAATTGCATCGTATTATCAATGAACGCGCCAGCCTTGGTTTGGTTCTGTCTGTGCCTCTACGACAGCATGCAATCGTGAAGCGCAAACACGCTGCTCTCACTTGTTTTGCTGCTGCTCTCCATTGCTTCCGGCCTGCAGCCAGAAACAATAGAGCGGCGAACCTTAGTTTCCTTTCCCTTCACGCTTTCTTGGCGCGTGCCTGCCGACCTCGAACCCAGCCGATAATGGACCTGAGCCCTCAAAAGACCCACACGGCACGGCTGTCTGGGTCGTCAGGACCCCTGAGGCTCAGACTTACGACCCCGCGGGCTGTCTGGGGCGGGACGCACTGAAGCAGCAGGCGCGCCGTCAAGGTGCCCGGATGATACGAAGAGCGGACCGACGGCGGTGATCAGTCATGCCGCCGCGTCGTCATCGGTTCCGCCGCGATAAACCGCAGCAAAGAAAGAACGCCGTCACGGTGGCAACAAACAGCGCCGTGGCGGTGCCCGGCGCTGTGTATGGTGCCTGGGGCACGCGCCGTGGTTCCGCGTAGGGCTCGGACCATCGCCGGATCGCCGGCTCGATGCAAACACGGCCGCCTGAAGTCAGCTGTGATGTCTGCAGAGCCGACCTCGGATACCAGGGCCGCCGCTGAGGCAAGTTTATGCGAAATTCACCAAATTTACCCACGATTTAGGCCCACCAAAAAGGGGGAATCAAACAGAGGAGGAAAAGTCTGGTCTTCCAACGTCGTTAGCAGTGCGCGGCATTTACCGGTCCACAATGTACCGCACGTAGGTTTGTTGGAAATAGAGTTTACGTAGGAAAAGCAGCGAACTCGATTCATTGTTTACAAAACCTCCATACATGGTGGTATAAATCGGTAGCCTGGCATATCTGGACTGTATGGCCGTCAGACAAAGATAAGCTTTATAGCCAGGTTTCCGTGGCCATGTACAGGTTTGTGACTACCATTTGTGGTTATCATTGAGAACAAGCCACCGCTGTTTCACGTCGAGCAGTGTGACTCTGCGCTACCGTGCAGTCACAAAAATTCCTAACGCGGAAAAATGCAAAAACTTCATTGTTTATACGTGGTATTTGTACGCGCATGTGATTGAGTACAAAGCAAAGCAGGCACAAAAGCAGAGTGTTCACATCATTGCAAGCAAAGCCCTCATACATAACATCATAGTTCAGTAATCTAGCATAACTTCTGACCAACTTATGTTTGCTAACATGGGTAGTGAACGCGCCATCAGTTATGCCCAATTTTACAACGCCGTCTGTCATCGTGTTTCCGCCCGGTCCCATAACTGGTGCCAGGGTGTGGCATCTAAACACTCCCTCGCCCGGCGACAGGCTAGGGTGTGGCATCCAACCACTCCCTCGCCCGGCGACAGGCTAGGGTGCGGCATCCAACCGCTCTCTCGCCCAGCGACAGGCTAGGGTGTGGCATCCAACCACTCCTTCGCCCGGCGACAGGCTAGGGTGTGGCATCCAAACACTCCCTCGCCCAGCGACAGGCTAGGGTGTGGCATCCAACCACTCCCTCGCCCGGCGACAGGCTAGGGTGCGGCATCCAACCGCTCTCTCGCCCAGCGACAGGCTAGGGTGTGGCATCTAACCACTCATTCGCCCGGCGACAGGCTAGGGTGCGGCATCCAAACACTCCCTCGCCCAGCGACAGGCTAGGGTGTGGCATCCAACCACTCCCTCGCCCGGCGACAGGCTAGGGTGCGGCATCCAAACACTCCCTCGCCCAGCGACAGGCTAGGGTGTGGCATCCAACCACTCCCTCGCCCAGCGACAGGCTAGGGTGTGGCATCCAACCACTTCTTCACCAGGCGACAGGCTGGAATAAGCTCATTCCTGACGGGAAGGACAAAATTCTGGTAACTCAGCCATGGATGTTGAGTTATTTAGTTGAGAAAGTAGATCAATTTAAGGGTACGTAACTTCGCTCACAGATGCTTCAATTACCGTTTTGCTTGAAGTCTCCTTCAGCTATTATCGATTGATTCGAATTATTGCGTTTCATGATTGTGCTCAGCTTAATTTGATATGCTTGCGTTTTTTAGTTGTGTAAGAGGATGAAGGTTTGCAGGTTCTGTAGTCCAACATGTAATGCCTTTACGGAAATAATAAAAAGATAGAGAATAGTGAAATTAATGATTTCGGCAATGACGATAACTCGCATCCATCCTTTTGTGCAATTGTATCGCAATGAACGGCTTCTCGATGGCTTCGACGTGTAGGTCCCTCGACTGCGGCTGGTCTACTGATGGCTATAGGAAATCAAAGAGCTGACCTTCAGCCGGCAGCCATATCACGGTCCAGCTGTCGCTGCGGCAATCGACTGCGAGGCACCTGGTGATTGGAATCCACGGCGACCCTGCAATCAGTGACGTCAGCACCACTTGATAATTTATGTAAATGTTCGTAACTAACCAGAAAATTGGACTCCTCGTGCGATTTCGGGTCTGGTGATGGTCAAATATGGGACATTCATTCATCGCCATTTGTTGCATTGCCAGCCAGTTAAACACTGCATTCGCAGGCCTTGGTGCTACGCAGTTGAATTATGGTGTTTTTTTGCGAAAACCGGCACTTCATGGTAAGTGTCACACACCTTCGAAACTGAGCCGTTAGGACACCCGCCGAACTGCTGAGCTTGAGCGGCATGCGAGTGTCCGTGCAGCCAAGGCGACCGTGGGTCATTAAATAGGCACCGCCTGGTCCGCGTACTCGCCCACCGCCCATTGATCCACATAGGCTCTTCCAGGGATCGGCTGATGTGGTCTGCAAGAATTCGCAGAAAGCACCCGGGTGGAGGTTTTACTGCAAGGCGGTTGGAGAAGGTATACAGCAAGTTTACATAATGCTGGAAGGTCGATGGAGTAGTGAGAAACGCGGAAGCTCGATGGAGTTGCCGCAGTTGATGTCGTCCGACCATGTAGCAGCCCCGTTTGTCATAAATAGCTGGCTCCATTACAAGCGCACCCGTGTCCATTCAACTGCCAGGTTTTTAGATTTCCAGCAACTCCAGCCTCACCCACTTCACTTTCCCCGAGTCAAAATTCCCAAAATCCCTAAAACGGCAAAAGCGATAAAATCCTTCCATCGCGCGAGCGCCCATCATCACACTGGGCGAATGTGATGAAACTCGGCTTCTAGTCTCAAACGCTCACCCGCTCCTGCCTCCCACATTCGGTGCGTCGCCCACCCTCATCGATTGCCTGCAGGGTGCGCGCGTCAGCTGCGTGCGTGTCCCGGCACACGTGCCCCGAGGCTGCGCCACAATCGGCCGCTCAGCGCTCGTGCTCAATGCGCGCCTTCTGTTTGGCCTGGTCACCATAGCGGCTGCGCGACGGCCCCGGCGCCGGGCCAGGTGTGACGCAGCGCGGCCTATACTGGCAGCCGGCGCGCGCGGCCATCAACATGGGCTCCGGCTCGGTGCGTGACCCCGCGACCGTTTGACCTCGCACGTGACCTTCGGTGACCTGTGACGCTGTGCTGGCAGAAGCGTGGTGTGGGCTTGCGTGCGTTTGGCTCATGATCTTTGCAGGCCTGGTTGCCGTGTGTGGTTTGACGTGGATGAGCCGCTGGCTCTGTTTGCTATTGGAGTGTAAAGTTGTTTGCAGCTGTGTGACCGCTGACCGGTACCCCGTGTTTTTGAGCCGTTTTGTTCAATGTCAAACACGCCTGCGCCGGGAATACGTGATTGTGCTTTGGTCCCGACGTGCCCCGACAATTACTAAATTGGTCATAGCTTGTCTGATAGGACCATTTTTAAAATCGTTTCCAGGCATTAAGTTGTCGTTGTGTTAAAGCTCTTATCATGACTATGGGCGCTATTAATCGCTTACGCCATCTTCATTCTGTAGTACTTGTGGAGCAAGGAAGTAGAAAGGTGCGCTGTTCTTTGACCTGATCATATTTCTCCTCACATTGGTCCTCAACCAGACGGCCTTCCCCGTTTCCCTGCTGCCCGTACCGAACTATCGAGGGTAAACCCCTGCCGTTCGCGCCCCACCGTCATACACCCGCCCCGGTGCGCAGTCTGAGCAGGTCTCGTTGACGGTCCACAGAGTAAGTCCCGGTCCCGGTCGCCGGCGCCGCCGCCGCCGGCGCCCTCCAAGGCGCGCTTGCAGCAGGCACCTCCGTCCAAGAAGGGCGGCGGGTCCCGGCGACCCTCCTTCAACGGGGCCGGCTCCAGGAGACAGTCCTTCAACCCGCTCAAGGAGAACAAGGTACGGATCCTTGGGGGGGGGGGGGGCAGGGAGGAGACTGTTTTTCAACCCGCTCAAGGAGAACAGGGTACGAACCCGTGGAGGGGGGAGGGGCAGGGAGGAAACAGTCCAGCAACCCGCTCAAGGAGAACAAGGTACGGACCTGTGGGGGGTGGGGGGGGAGCAGGGAGGAGACAGTCATTCCCCCACTGAAGGAGAACAAGGCACGGATCCGCGGAGGGGGTAGGGAGGAGACAGTCCTTCAACCCGCTCAAGGAAAATAAGGTACAGAGGGGAGGGGGGGGGGGGCAGGAAGGAGACAGTCCTTCAACCCACTGAACGAGAACAAGGTATGAACCCGGGAGGGGGGGGGGGACAGGGAGGAGGCAGTCCTTCAACTTTGCTCAAGGAGAACGAGGTGCGGACCCGTGGGGGGGGGGGGGGCGGGGAGAGACAGTCCTTGAACCCACTGAAGCACGAGGTACGAGCTCGTGGGAGAGGGGGGCAGGGAAAAGTCTTTTGAGAGAAGCAGGTGCCCGTCGAGAGTCGCCGTGATGAACAGTTGGTGACAGGCGCCTGGGGTGGAACTGCGGCTGACAGGACACAGAATCTCAAAACAATGACCATCTTGGTCTTGAACGCCTAAAGAATATAAAAGTTGATGGTCTTGCCTTATCAGCCTGCCTCACATTGCTTGCACATATATGAACGGAAATAAACAGTCAGGAATGGTTTCATGACCTTTGCAAGTTTTCTCCTCAAGTTCAGTTTTGTTCGGCTTGAGTCCCCTGAGGAGTCCCGATCAATGCGAGAAAGAAGCTCGCGTGCTGTCGTGTGATGTTTCAGTAGACCAACGCCACTCATCACCCGGCAGCTTTAGACTTAAGGGCGGGAATATCAAAGCGAAGTTCGCAGTATTCGATGGCGTTGACGTGCTGATCTACGTAGGAATCCCTTTGAAAAGAGATTCGCGAAGAATTCTAGCAACTATGTATGCAGAGAATGTGTGTATGCATGGCATTGAATGGAATTTAAACGCTACGCTAAAATCACGATGCGGAATAAGTCTTCCTAATTTGAGTGTTATTTTGAGGTTGCATGACATTAGATGTGGTATCGACTAAAATGGTGAATCACTGAGTGAATAATCTATGTTCACAAACAGGCGTTTCAGATAAAGTTCGGGCAGTTGTTTTTTTTTTGTAATTCTCACATAACCGAAATTGTTGGGTGTTAGGGACAACTAAAAGCTGCCGTTAGTCGTATCTAACGCTAGATCGAATTGGAATGAAATCTCAGCTTGCAGAATGCTGGTAGGTATGTCCGGTAATTCATAGGTGTTCCGCTTCAGAAATATATTGTTCGCCGCGAAACGAAACGGCCGAGTGGTCAGGGTGGTTGGCAGCCATGCGAGCGATCCGTGTTCGAATCACGGTTGTATCGCGTTGCCTGGATGTTTACATGACCCCCATAGTGACTTGCACTCTATAAAGGTTTAGTGAATATGTGTGTCACGTATTTTTCGATTCCTTCGCACAGTACGGATCGTTACTTCTCCGTACTTTGAGTAGTCAATACGGCTGCTATGCATACAGAAATGTCCGCAGGTGTGCATACATGCATACTCAAATTTCCGTCTGTAAACCATGCTATTTGCAGGAATTTAGCAAATGGCCATCACGAACTGTCAAAGTAATCACACAGCTTGGTCTAATCACCACCGACGTCATATATCTAAAAGTTTCTATATTTGCTGGTGATTACACTCATACTTGCTGCCCTCTGTAGCTAGAGGTAACTTTCGCAGCTAATCATATTTTTATACCGCGAAAACATGCGTGCTGGAAGTATTCAAATTGCTAAGATGCAGAGAATCCCCCCTCCCCCCTCCGATGTCCAATCTCTTTTAATGCCACATCAATCTCTTTCACTAAGGGAGACGCGTTCCTCCATGCCAATGTTTCTCTACCTGCCCAGGTGTCGATTGGATGACCCCAAGCAAGATCCCTTATCCTTATCCCTTATCCCTTATCGTGTCGCAGCAACTTGGAACCACCTGCACCCGACCACCACTATATCTCTATCTTTGAGTAATTAAAAACTCATATGAAAATGCAAACGCTAGATCATGCACCTCGGTTTTAAGCCTATACTGGGGCTTATTTGACTGTACGCCATATATATGTACCCGCTTGAGCTTTGCGTGTCAATGTGGATTCCATGTACTTAAAGCTTGTTTTCATCCATCTTTGTATGTGTGCTCTGGGTTTCGTACATTCTGTTCCTATCAGTTTGGGACGTTTATGAAATTCATTGGTTGACATCGTACGCATTTTAAAGTGTTGTATTTTATAGCATAATATTTTATAGCATCGTATTTTACACTATCGTATCTTGTAGTACAAAGGATGTTTCGTAGCATCGTATTTTATCCTATTTTTTTGCAATGTGTTGTAACGAATGGGTGAGGGTTATAACAAACCGAGCCTAGTGAACGTTGTACCAAGCCGAACACCCGAAAAGCCACATCATGGATGGATTTCGACCAAACAAATACAACGTAACGTGAATGTTTTTATCCCAGGGAAGGTCCCTGGGGAGGACCGCATGGTAGGCGTTATGGTTGGGTTCAACTCGCCTGCCTGGGTGTAACCGCGCCTCCGAGATTGGTGGGAGGGTTTATCAGGATTGCGGATGTTATACCAGAATACTAGACATTAGAACTAGAACACTAGACACTCCACATTGACACAACTAGCAGACTAATAGCATTTTGAGTGGTAAAAAAGGCATGAAAACGTACATTCTACAAACATTCCACTGCAGGGGCCTCAAACTTATTATGGAAAAATTGAAGGGGTATATCCTCAGCTCAGTCCCCTCCCCCCCCCCCCCCCCCCCAGTGGTTATACCCCTGCCTGCCTGAGCATTCCGGTTCCGCTCCTGACCCCACAGACAGCTGACACGGCGGTGTCTTTCTCAGCCGCCTGCGACGCCTACGCCGCGACCGCCGCCGTCAGACCCCAACCTGGCGCAGTGTCCCATCTGCACGCGCGCCTTCGCCAAGGACCGGCTGGAGAAGCACAAGACCATCTGCGAGAAGAGCAACAAGAAGAAGCGCAAGGTGTTTGACCCGATTAAGATGCGGGTCAAGGGCACGGAGTCTGAGCAGTACATCAAGAAGATCAAGAGTGGTGCGAACGATGATAAGGTGGGACGCGGCCAAAAGGTGAAAAACAATGTCTACTTTACGGAGCCGAGAGCACAGTCGCGGACTTGGGTGATCATTGTCTTTACTTGGTCACTTAACCTCCAGTTTCGAGATGCAGTGAACGAGCTTAACAGCCCACCAGGCGATTTTAATCACCAAAGACCAGGACAGCCTGCTACCCGATCCGATTCATTATTAAGACCGTTGGAGACCTTTTGTCAGTCGGCATCACACAATGGATCGCTCACAGCACTTGGCACCGTTTTAACTCAGCGTATCCCCACGAACATGCCTGCCACTCACAACACTGCCTAGTGACGAAGCACAATTGCCCCAGACGGATGTCGTTGCTTCCAGATTCCTTGTGGCCCCTGTTTTTTCTTCTCCCTCTAAGCACGATTGCCTCAGACGGATGTCGTTGCTTCCAGATTGCTTGTGGCCCATGTTTTTCTTGTCTCTCGAAGCACAATTGCCTCAGACGGATGTCGTTGCTTTCAGATTGCCTGCGGCCTATGTTTTTTGTCTTGTCTCTCGAAGCACAATTGCCTCAGACAGATGTCGTTGTTTCCAGACTGCTTGCGGCCTATGTTTTGTCTTGTCTCTGGCGCTTTCAGTGGCAGAAGAGGTGATTCTTGCGTTTACGGTGGACTGTGCGTCTGGGTTGTGTGATCATACATGATTTGCTCTGCAGCTGAATCCGCAAGTTGTTACGGTATATGACAAACTGTCTTCGCAGTATGTCATTCTGAAACCAAGGGTGTGCCTTGCAATCCATTATCTTTGCAACTGCGTACGCATGAGCGAAAAAAAATCCTTGATATATTTACAACAAGGCGTGTTGCAAAGGGATTTTGTTAGCGATCATTCATGACCATTCTGTTGACTGCTAAGAAAACATTTTCTGGACCAATTAACATGGTGCAGTGTTCTTGGCGGCATCGACCTGCTTCAACCTCCCGATGTGGGAGCAATGCATCAAACTTGTATTTTAATGACGGGGCCTTACGCAGGACCCAGTAAGACTAAACCAAATACATAAATATTTCTGCCAGGGGCTGATGCTTTTGTGATGAAAACAAAACGCGGGGATATGTGCGAAAAACTGCAGCTGTTGCTGCGCTGGCCAGGGTGGCCGGCTGGTTGACAGAACCCCCGTCGCTGCCACCGATGGACAGTTTTTTTTTCTTTAGTGGCGTTCGGTTTCACTGGCACCCTACCCGGTGGTATGCTGATGATCCCTGCATATGCAACATTCACCTTCACTATTCCAGCCTTAACTTGGCATAGGCAGGAAGAACCTTGAACCCCTGGCTTCTCACTATAAAACTAACACTATAAGTCCTTAGTCTTATAATGCTGAGAGAGTCCTCAAGCTTGCAGTTATCGACCTTCCGTACTCAAGAGATACTGTTTAAACGACGCTGTCAAGCAAACGTTATGGCGTCAACGTTGCAAGTTGTGCTTTGATTGTGACTTATTATAGCCACTTGGAATAATAAGTAAAATTTGCAATATCGCGTACCGAGAATGTAACTAACGTGTGCTTGATAACGCCTTTTAACTGGTGCTTCCTGGTATACTGAGGGCTGGTAGCTCGTCAGCGTAACGACTCTGAGCCCAACCAGAGCTGGTTTATTTTGTTGCCTTTCAATTAGTGCTTCCTGGTATACTGGGGGCTGGTAACTCGTCAGCGTAACAACTCTGAGCCCATCCAGAGCTAGTCTACTTTGTTTAAACCTGGATTGGGGACCGCTTGATTTCTAAGCACCCACGTTGGGTCAAATGCGGATCTCATTAGAATTGCACCGGGGAAGCTATCCTGCACATTTTGGCAAATGCCCAGCCTATACATGCTCGTGGTGCATACTAACAGCCGCTTCGAGTCGCCATTAACGATGAGATGCCACTTCCGATGAATTACCACGACGCGCATTTGACAGCCCGTTTGGCAGCCCATTTGGCAGACTTAACCCCGTTCGCATCCTTCGACTGGACAGTGACCTGGCCTCCGTACGACCGATATGACCTCCACCACGGTATGACTGGCCGGACGGTGACCTGGCATCCGCCCAGCGCTGCATGACAGGCCGGACAGTGGCCTCCTCAACCGACCCTACCCCCCGCCCCCCCCCCCCCCCAAACACCACGACCACGATGCTTGACGAGGTGGTGACAGTCTCCTCTTCTCACAGGACCCTAACCTGTGCCCACTCACCCGCAGTCTCCGAAGAAGGCCGACTGGCGCAAGCAGCACGAAGAGTTCGTGGCCAACATCCGGGCCGCCAAGCAGGCGCAGGCGCACCTGGACGCGGGCGGCAAGCTGGAGGACCTGCCGCCGCCGCCGCCGTCCGACACGTCTGATTACGTCGAGTGTCCGCACTGCGGCCGGCGCTTCAACGAGGCCGCCGCCGACCGTCACATCCCCAAGTGCTCGTCCATCTCGAGCAACAAGGCGCCCGGCCAGCCGCCGCCGAAGCAGGGCGGCCGCGGTGGCGGCAGGAAGCGCCGGTAGAGCGCGGAGAGGGCGGGTAGAGCGGCGGGAGGGCCGGAGGAGCACTGAGATGACAGGCTGAGAGCGAGGAGCGCGCGCAGAGAGCAGTGGGGGTAGGTATCTCAGGTACCTGCAGCGAGCAGAGGGGTATCTCAGGTACCTGCAGCGAGCAGAAGGCAGTGGAGGCAGGTATCTCAGGTACCTGCGGCAAGCAGAGGGCGGTGGGGGTAGGTATCTCCGGTACCTGCAGCGAGAAGAGGGCGTTGGGGCAGGTATCTCTGGTGCCTACCGCAGGCAGAGGGCGGTAGGGGAGGCATCTCTGGTACCTGCAGCGGGAAGAGGGCGGTGAGGGGGCAAGTACCTCAGATGCCTGCAGCGCCAGACGGCAGGAATGTCGCTGGTGGTGGCGGCTTGTGTTGCGGGAGGAGGCGCCGGGTTTGAGCGCTGGCAGGCGCGTGGTCCCTCCGCGAGGCGGGACAGTTGTGGCCACTGAGGGCATGGCGTGTCGGCAAAGTGCTGCTGTTCGTCGCGTGGCGGGAGGTTGCTGAAATCGTCTCATGATTGAGTCAGTGATTGATTGGGGAAATTGGGGCGTGACTGAGTCAGTCCTGCCCAAATTGATGCGCTGGTGTCTCATGTCTTGTACCCGTCTTGTGTGCGGGCACACCGCCGCCGGACGGGTTAGGAACATGTCTTTGCGGCTACAGGCCACAGTAGAAACGAATCGCACTCCGCTGGCCTATGACGGATGCAAACTGTTAAAGCAAAGTCAGCGCAGTTAGCGGGGTGGAACACATTTGGACGCTCGGACCACGGTAAAATGCTTTACGAGTACACCATTAAGCGGGCGAAGTTGTGCAAGTTGTTGAACGATGTGCCTGATGAGTTTTTTGATTAAATGTTGGTTAGTACTGGTGATGCCGGCTTATTTTCGCACACCAACACGCTTTGCATTACTGTAGAATGAACCCAGCAATACTATAGTTTTTGTTAAGACCAATAATGGCCCGGCTGTCGTTGCCAGCTTCCGGAGGTCGTACTGATAATCTAACACCGTGCCTATACCGTTCCGCTTTTCTGTGATAACATATATGCTACGTCGACAAGACGATCAGTAATATGCCGCGCACGTTTGCGGCTGTTGCACGGGTGAGGAGCCCTGTGCGAAGTGTAAATGCGCCACTGGGTCACTGCAGTAGCTGGAGAAATATATATAGTTCTTGATCTACGGTTTCTGGAGGAAATTCTGCCGTGCAGTGCGGCATGGTGGCAAGAGGTGCTGGTTAGCGGAAGGCTGGGACTACAACGTGTTCGATAGCAGGTATGTATTTACCGTGAACGACTGTTGTTTGCTATGATGGTGCGTGTGTATAGAAAGCCCTGCATGCCTTTAAATACACCCAGACACATTTAACGAAACGTAAAGGATGGTTAGCATTCTGGATCAATTCCCATTCGGTAGGAAACAAAGTCACGGAAGTCTTGAACGAGTCTCAAAATTGTGAGTTGACGAACTTTACCGATAGGGGTGGTCAGGTAGGTACACTAAAAATGGATATTGGCCGTAACACATTTCAAGGCAACACGCATTGCGCTAATTGGAGTTTGAATGAGGACGATATTTCATAAGAATTGAGTGCACAAGCGGTTTGCAGTTGAGAAAGCGGGACATAGGACATAGCCAGGACATAGCCAGCCCGTGTAGGTGCTCCCCCAGAAAGCATTTTGATGGATTTGAGACAGGTGCATTTCGTGCCTAACATATTACTGGGAGCTGCTCCACGAAATGAAATAATCGGTGAAAATTACATTTCTCTTCATAATTTGATCCAATACCAACCACAAACAAATAGCTCTAAAACCGTCAAAGCATCCATCACGGTCCTCTGGTTCACCGAGTCTTGCCTGGCACGTCCTCCCTCTGCGCCGTGTTCCTCACGCACATACACACACACATGCAACGATCCAACATATTTATTTCGTAATCACCTCCATTTAACCGGGACAACGACTTCACATAAAAACAGTGTCAACCACGCACTCGGCAGCCTCTGGCATGGCGTCGCGCATGCAACGGACTACCTGGCTAAGACAAAGCATCCTCCACGAAGAACGTTTGTACAGTGATGTTCAGCACCGAAGCACTCTGATCGATGACGTCACAGGTCGGCGAGAGCGTCAGGTCACGTGGACAACGGCAGACCCCAGTGAGCCGATACAGGGTCGCACCAAGGCGTTGCCACATGGCGTTGGGCCGGCACCCGGGCCGGGTCGGCCGGCGCTCCGATGGTTCTCGCTACGCGGCTCCCCCGATCCGTTTAAACACACGTTGCGTGCGAAAACACGCGGCTATGCGTCACAGACCACGCAGTATTCCGGGGGTACAAGATGTCATACACGATGGGTCAGGTGCGGGGCCTCATACCTAGCCCCGCAGCATTCCGAAACGGGTCATGATTTCCGCCATGCTCGAGCGTACAGAACGAACAACGGCAAGCCTGTCTCGAATTAACGGGGTCGGAACCTCGTTAGCTCTCTCCCTGGGGCATCCCCAAATCCAAATCCAAATCCCGCTGGGGCATCCGAACACTCGGGACCGTGTCTGACGCCGCAACACGCGGGTAAAGGTGTGGGTTTCCCGGTCTCGTCGGTTTCTTTCCCAGCCGACGCTCCAGCGTCTCCTCCAGCATGTTCCACACGCCGCTTACCTTCTTCACGGTTACGCGCCACCAGCAGACGTTTCCGTTCGGGGAGCCGCAACCCTCGCGCACGCCTCCAGCCCTGCACACGCCGCGAACATCCCTTCCATCTCACCAACCGCGCCCGCACCTGCACATCCTCCCTACCCTCCCCCTCCCCAGTTTCCCTCTTTTCTTGCCCCCTCCCCCCCCCCCCCCCCAGCTACCCGTCCAGCTCGCACTTGCCCGTCTGGCGGTATGGCTTGGCGGCGGCGAGCGGCACCGCCTGGCGGATGCTGGGCGGCAGGCAGCCGCGCAGGCGGTCGTGCCGCTCGGCCGGCATGTTGAACGCGGCCAGGCACTTCTTGAGCCAGCAGGCGCGGCAGCGCGTGTCGGCCGCGTGCCGCGGCGCCAACACCGGGATGTGGCAGCGGCCCAGGCCCAGCAGGCACTGGATCGGCTGCGCGGGCTGCACGCGGCCGGCGAACTGGCGGCACGCGTCGCACGCGTACGAGCCGTGCAGCCGGCAGCGCGCCGTGTGCGTGTAATACTTGGTGCCCCCGCACACGCCGCACGTGACGAAGCCCGGCGACGGCGGCTCCGAGCTGGCGGCCGGCACGGGCGGCGCGTGTCAGCACGGCGCTGGGTGGCGGGGCGACGGAGGGCACGGCGGCGGCCATGTCGCAGCCAGTGGCGCAAAACGGTACAGTTCACGACGCGTGTACGCGCTTCAGGTCAACACCCACCCATGTCGTTGACCTTTTACGCACCGGGTGGCGAAGGATGAGGCGGTCAGGTCACTTTTCCGTCCCAGCAGGAAAGAAGTTGAGACATACTGTTAGGTTGAATGGATGCGGAAACAATGTTCGGCGCGGATCGCTCTGCCAACGGTTCTACTAATATCGCTGGGGAAGGAGAGGAAGTATTATGAGGAAGGAGTTGTCGGGTCAAGACACAAGATATTACGACAATGAGTCCACCGAATTTCATCTCCTGCATAAGCAACAGCAGCATCTGCACCTGTACGACAAACACAAAACAATAACTAGGACACAACCACATCCCACATTTCCTCAACTCGTAATCTGTTACTGTAAGTGAATAACCATACGCGCCCGCCTGTCTCCCCGTTGCCGCAGCATCTTTCGCGGAAGCGAGATGGTCACTTACGGTGCACGTCCAATGAGTGAATCTCGAGACCGAATGACCAGCTTGCCTGCACACCACACACGTTCACCGAGAGATCTGATACAGCCCGTCCGACACGACAGCCGTGACCATCGCGGCCGTCTGGATGGGGAATTGTCGGTTGCGGCCGCTTACCAATGGAAGTCATGCCCCCCCCCCGCGCTGATGCATTTAACACCATTACAGGGCTACATCGAAGTCATTATCAATACAAATCAACTGAATGTATGAACCATGAACAGCCATAAAGAAAATACTCAAACGGAAGATTTCAAACACTATGAACAGAGCATATACGGCTGAACAGCTACTGAAATCGAATAGAAAATGGCGCAAAAACATTCCCGAATTTCCACATCCAAGAAGACTGACAACATAGGAAAAATGCACAAAGCCAGGAAAAACCGATAACATATTAAGCACGAGCCGCTGCCGCGGTTTCTGCGCCCACATGGCACATCGCAAACCATCACGGCCCATCCGCAGGCCACCACTGCGGCCGCCTGCACCCTGCGCTCGGTGTGGAGCACCCACCTGGGCGGCGGGGAAGGCGGTCTGCGCGGCGGCAGCGGCTGCTCCAGCCGCTGCTGCTGCTGCTGCGGCCGGGACAGCTTCAGCTTCATCGGCGCCACGGAGCGCACGGCAAACGTGTCGTCGCCGCCGGCGCCGCCGGGAGCGGGCCGCGCTCCGCTGCCCGGCTGGCGCGAGCGCAGGTTCTCCTGCGGCCAGCAGCGCGGAGCGTGAGCCGACCGAGCCGCCGAGTGAAGGGCCACGGCCCAACGCTCACGTGGCATGGACGTGGGGAAGCGGTTTGATGGGACACGGCGCATTCGCACCCTGCGTAATATTTTCGCAAGCGCTGGCGATACAACTTCCAAACCAGTTACATGTTTTTGCAAACATTGGTGATGCAACCTTAAACACGATCATCGCTGCGTTACGTTAGTATTGATACGTAGAAAGTCCGAAGTTACCGTTTAAGGGTATGGGTGGGAGTGAGTTAATCAACAACGGCGTTATAATTCCAACGCTTGGAAACCTGATCAAAGGCGCTGCGGAAGTAGCACCAGAGACGGTGTGGTCCTCCAGAACGCACGGGAATGCTAGCCGATTACATCGCAGCAATCGTGGGGGAGCAACCGAGAAACCCCATGCATCACCTACCTGGAACTTGTTCCACGCTTTTCTGGCATGCTCTGGGTGAAATTCTTTCAGATGGCTGAGCACGGATTTCGGATCCCGGAATTTGGAATGGCAAACACGACACACATACGCCTCCTTCTTGCCTGGAACGATACCAAGGACGAGCATAGTTACTTCTCGAGCACGGGCAGTGAGCGCCTTGTTCGTGCGCTTAAAACCATCCTTAAAACTCGGGTTAAACGTCTTCAAAGTCGGGGGGTAGCATTAGGTTTGGTACTGGTCCACGGCACCTGTCCACGTAAACAGCGCACTTCTCGTCCAGTTCCTGGGACCCTGTTCACAATGACGGGTGTAAGTACATCAAACCGGTACAATTCATCCGCGCATCGAGTAACGGGCCAACCGCGCCCAACGGCAACATGGCCATCTGTACAAGACCGTGCCAAACCCTGCGTCCACGTATCGTACCTGGGCAACGCGCTTCGACGAGCGCACTCCGCAGCGCCCATTAATCGCCTGTTAAACCGTTCCAACAGTCAGCGAGTCTGTGACATCACGCACGACGTAAATCACAACAAAGAGCGGCCTTTGGTAAATTGGTTATCTATTCGAACAACCAAGGCCTGAATAAAGCTACAGCACCTTTGTCACAGCCGGATTGATCAAATAAAACCGCGTTACCCAAAATGGGCAGGATTGAACTTGACAGGCTTTGCTGGTACCCTCGCGCTGGTGCACAATGCTTCTTCACGACCGACCTGCGCCAGGCGCGACCCCAATGGCCACTTGCCAGGTGACCTATTCCCGTCGGTTAGGCTGAACAATGAGCACTTTCTGATACTCGTACCCGGAGCCGCTGAATTACAAGTTCATTATCCCTCTCCATACCGCCGAGGCAGCTGCGGCAGCTGCCGCCAAAAACCAGCGTCATCGCCACCAACGACGTTCAAACGCCGCATGACGCAAGCATCCAGCGAAAACAGCCCCGAAGGCCTGCATTACCAGCATACGGACGTCCGGTGGCGTGATGTACAGGACCAACCAACCGAGATGTACAGGAGGCATGCCTCACCATTGGTCGGCCTCCTAGGTGGCGCTGGCGGCGCTGGCAGCGGCGGCCGCCGCGCCACGGGCCGCGGCAGCGGCGGCGGCGGCAACGGCGGAGACGGGGAACGACCCCGCTCCTCCTCAGAGTCCTCCTCCTCCGAGGAGCTGGTGTCCTCCAGACGCCTTACGCGCGGTGCCTGGCGAGGCGCACGCTGGGTTAGTCCACAAGGCGTGACGGTGACGCCGCGAGCTCAGGGCTCAGAACGCGCGGCACCAAAACGTGACGGCACGGGTAACGGTCACACCGGATCAACTGGCTCCAACGGGTCCCACGCGACCAAGTGCATCATTTTCAAATGCTAAGTAGGCCACCCCTCCCACACTTCCAGCGTGCTGATGGGCCTCAACCAATGCCTAATACGCATATCAAAACGACGACAGCGCCTCCCAGTTTTCGTCAATTCGATGGCTTCATGGTATCGTAATGCTACTTGTTTTTTGTGGACAATAATAATTCAGCACAGGACGTTTTGGACCTCCTCGCTGATAAAATAATGCACGCATTCCAGCACGGATACGGACCCCATTTACAGCGAGCGGGGTGTGCACGGCTGCCTCTGAGCTGGCTCACACAGCAGCCCTGAGCGGGCCGCGCACAGCTGCTTCTGAGCCGGCCCACGCAGCAGCCCCGAGCGGGCCGCGCGGCGCACCCCGCACCTTGGGTGGCCGCACGACGAGCGGCGGCACGCGCGGTCGCGGCCGCTCTCGCTCCTCGCGCTTCTGCTCCTCGCACGGGTGCCTGTCGAGCTGGCGCTGGTTCAGGAACGACTGGCCGCAGCGCGTGCACACCGCCAGCCGTGTGGCGTGCGCCGAGGCGCTGTGCACGCGCAGCGCCATCTGCGAGGAGCAGCCGGCGTGGCAGAGCGCGCAGGTGAACCTGGGGAGGGCGCAAAGGTCAGCTGACGCGGGCGACCGGCGTTTGAGGCCGGGGGGAGTGTGGACGTGTGTGATGATGCGAAAACGTAAAAATTGTTATGTCTTGACGAGCGTACGCCATGTGGTGACGGTGCTGCGTTGAGAAGGTCAGTGGTCGGGTACGGGAACGACGTCTGTGGCCAGTTCTCCATTGACCTACCGTCCAAGCTCCGCCCATTGAGGTGGCAAAATGCGACGTCACAGATACGCGCCAATGAAAAACGCCTTTAAATCAAAATGTTAAGAACAACAATCAACTGATGTAAGCACATGGAGGCATCTAGCGCCCACAAATGGTGCCATTATTGGTACTGCAATATGCTGAATATGCTGCGAATGCTGCACATCATTTGATTTGAAAGCTATTGGCAAGTTCTGCGGCCAAAAACAACATTGAGCATCACACTATCCTCGTGCTATCAAAACCGGCCCATTTGTCCGACATACCAAAGCGTTAAGAGCGCGTTGACCGTTGCTAGAATTGCTATGTAAACAGCAACGACTTACTTGTAAACACACACACTTCTTTCACCTCTCAACTCAGAAGGGAGTGGGTTTGAGTCGTGGCGTCATACGTAAGTAATGGGCTTACTCCAAGCTGGGGAATGGGTTCCCAGTTGCCAATGAAGAATGGGACCCAGATGTCACAGAAGAGTGTCAAACTGCAAGTCCCTCGTCATGCGTTTTACTACTCGGAGGTACTCGTTTTGCAATGCTGCAGGAATGATCAGTGTGCAGGTGAAGTAAACACATGCAATACACAACAAAAAACACCTAGCTTGTAAAACCATGCCAGTGTGCACAACACAAGCCGAGCAGGCAAGTATACGCCTGGCAAGAAGTCTGTGAACGAGCCAGGCTGGATACAGTAGCTGACGCCCAGTGCGCCCCCACAGTTGAACGGAACTTGCTCAGCCCTCATGCGGAGTTCTCCCAACACCGCCGGCACTGCCGCTGTGCCGTGCTGAGCATACGGCGCCCGAGCCCCACGCCCCACGTGATTCAGCACACGCCGCAGCCCCGCCTCGACCTGGGCCAGGCCGCCTCGGGGCTGCTTCCCGTAACCCACGCAGCCAGGCGGCCCGCCTCTCGCTGCCCCGCGCCGCCCTCACCTGGGCTTGCCGGCCGGCTCGGCGCCGCTGCCGCCGGCCATGTTGGCCGTCGAGGCGAGCAGGTGGAGGCCGCTGGCCGCCTCGTCGCCGGTGGCGCCACCCTCCGGCTGCGAGCCGAACAGCTGCGACGCATCGCGCGGCTTGTAGAAGTCGGCCAGGTTCACCACCACCACCTGCCGCACGCCAGGAAGATCAGATCAGATCAGATCGGGTCGGGCCAGGTCAGGTCAGGTCCGGTAAGGCGTCGTGAGCGGCGCGGTCGACAGCGAACCGGACCTCGGCACGACACACCCGGGTCCAAATGCTGCACGCAACGTAAAATGCCTCATGCGCCTCCGGCAAAAAGTACTGCCGTTAATGAAGGCAACCACAATCACCAATAAATAAACGGCTAACCAGCCAGCACACAACACACGAGCAGCCATCCCGAGCTGGCATCCCACTGGCAAGCCGCGTGAGCCAAGGCCGTCAGATCATCAACCGTGCTTTAAAAAAAAAACAAAACAGAAACGCAAGAGGGCTCCCCTCGAGCAGCACACCAAAACGACGACAAAACGGATCCGCCGGCGGCACACGCCTAGCCCTCGCGTGCGGCCAACAGCCGGAGGTGCGCTCCACCTGAGAGCCGACGTCGATCTCGACGCTCTTGTTGAGGGCGTCGATGCCGTCTTGGGGATCCACTCGTCGATGGGGCGCCGGCTCGGGGCGTCGAGCCGTCGTTTCTCGACGGCCGGCGCGCAGCTGTCCAGCAGGTGGTCCATGTTAGCCGGGCCCGTGCTCGGCCGAGAGGCCGCTCCAGCTGGCGGGCCAGCGGCTCCGAACAGGCCCACCGTCACCGTCTCCATGGCGGCTGCAACGGCGCGCGGTGGGGGCTCAGACCGCGTGGGCGGGACTAACGTCACTGTCTCCACTATGGTTGGAACAGAAAACAGCTGGAGGTTCAAGCAGAACCAATGGTTGGAGGACATGAAAGCCTCTTGGTGTGATGGCTTTTGACTGCTGATGTGAATGCAATGTTGACATTCATTTGGAGATACTTGGATACAGCACCAATCTATTGAGCTTTTCATGACTTTCCACAACAATCACCTCTTAGAAACATCACCAGCTTCCCTGAAACCCTAAACAGTAAACTGCTCAGGAAACCCTGATACACCATAAAAACAGGTGACCCTAATTCTGGCTTAGAAGCAGTTTGATAGCAGTGGTCATTTTGCTGTGGTACCCAGTCTTCATGAATTATTTACTTATTGCAAGGAATGAAATTCCATTGCCCTCAAAGATAATGTCTGTGCATAGGCTAGAGTGACCTATGTAAACAGCTTCTGTGAATTATGCTAGCTGCTTCAAAGTTCCATTGAATTTGTCAGACAGTGGAGATTGGTGATATATTTCTTGTTGTGGTACTACCAAATGGGCTAAGATGAAATGTTGATGCAGCAGCCTTCTGGTGAAATGTCTGGTATCTATTTTCCCGGCCTCACCAAATTTTGGTTCCTAAAAGCAAAAGAAGCTGTTTGTGTTTCATCAGCAGGGACTCAACCACAACCTGGTAATAAATTTAAATCAATCCCATTACTGAATAAAACACTAACACCACACTACTGCATTAGCACATCAGACTTAAATGCACTTGCAATACCATGACCATATTCCTCTTGTTTAAAAGTAGACTTAAGATTACAAGAAGAAAAGGCACATCTTATACCTGCAATGCTTAAAGCCAAAAAAACATGAAAGCAGCCAAAAATAGCAATGACCTGTTGGTCAACAAGCTAAATCAGCATGAGGCAGAGCACCCTGTTAAATCCTACACCCAGCAAAAGGATAAGGCTATGCTTGCCTAACCTTACACTAGTGTTCACACATGAAC